ACATCAATCTCTGTCCGAGGACTGAAGTTCTATTCATTTGTTTCATTAGCTAACTTTGTACAAGTGCTGCTTAATGGTGTGTTCTTGCTGGATGCTGGGAAGCATGCCTTCCATGTGCACAGCCATATGGTGGGGGAGCACCTACACTTTTTAACCAGCTCATGTGCACCCAAGGCTGGTCCTCTTCAACTCACTGAGGAGCTATGGGCATAGGATTTTCCCCTGAGTGCCGTACAGAAGTACTACTAGGAGGACCCTGGCTTGGCCTGGCCTAATCAGCACCACACCAGTAGCCCTGCCATACCTTCCTCAGGTCTTATGCCAATGGACCCCAATAGCAGCCACATACAGCACAAGTTTTTGTTTCCAGAAGTTATAGAGGTTAGGAGAAGGAAGAGTCCACACAATGGAAGCCTTTTAACTTTTGACTGAACCAGTTGATACATATACAGTATATATTTACATCCTTACAGTCATCCCCATGGTGACAGCCCAATCCTTATTTGTCAGATAACAGTAGAGATGAGAGCTGAGTCAAGGACCAGCCCATATACATAGAGGTTTGCCAGTTTCCCACATCCTATGCAAAAGGGATGTGAGTCCCCTACAAGTCCTATACCTTTTCTTCTTTGCTTCCCAGAATCTAGAGCCTCAACTATAACAAGAAACCAAAAGTACAGACCTGTGTTATTTTTATTGGCACCAATCATAAAATAACCATCAGTTCTAAAAAATATATTTGTGTTTGGAATTGATGGTTATTCTTCAATGATTGGTGCCAATAAAAAAATCCAGATGCATACTTTTGGTTTCTCATATGTAATCTAATTTAAGGGTGTGGCACCACTACCGTTTCCCCTATCTTATATTATTTAGCTTCATAAATTACAGCTATGCATACCTTGGTCCTTGCACTGTTTCCCATAACCAACAACCACAGACCTGCGCCAGCCAAACTATTTATACAGAACCCTCTACCAAAGACACCCACACTGGCAGGGCAGGGAGGGCTAGCACTTCCTCACTTTCTATAGTATGCCCCACTCACTACTCTGGGGACCTCTAGGACTACCAAGGACCTACTATTCTCTACAGAGTTCCCAACCGTAACTATGGATATATGGATATATCTAGTGACTAATTTGGGAAACCACACCAAGCACGTCTGTGCTCCAACTCTACACAAGTATTCCCTCAGCAGAGCTTACTAATAAATTGCATTTCAATATAACATGTGGGCACATCGGAAGAGGGGCAAGATTGTCCTGCACCCCAATCAGCACAGCATACTGCTGCCCAGCAGCAAACCACTGGCTAGAAACCAATTAAAAGAGTTTTTGTAGGCATCACAAAGTTCTTGCATTTCATCATTATTAATCTGAAAACATGCCCCTGACAGGTTTATTTTAATTCCAAAGGACTAAATAAATCTAACAATCTTTAGGTTGTCCATACGCAGCTACCAAAGTGGACTGAACAATTGTTTTCTCCATGAAATTAATTAGTACTACTCTATTGTGCAGGTTTTCCTACCTGCATTTATGATGTTGGGTGCTGGAGGAGATGGGTGTTGTGCCAACAGATGTGGGGTAAGAAACTCTAATCATCATGCTTATGAAAAGTTTTACAAATATCTTATGTTTCATGTGTAAAGTGTGATCTTCACAGGTTATATGTCATGTTAGAGCTTAGCTTCTCAAATCTGTCCTCACGTCTCCCAAAGATTAAACTTTTTAGGTTTACTCTTTAGAGAATAGTTGGGACAATACCTATTCAAACTAGAGAGTTCCCTAAATTTTTGTGTAAATATCCACAAACGTACACTCTTAGTGTTATCTGAGGATGGTTTGAGAACTTTAATTTTGAAGCATTTACCTTCACCAACTATAATGAATTGTGCCTTAGTAGCCATCATCATCGTTTGAGGGCAAAATGAGAAGGGGGCAGCAGGAATTATTGTGGATAAGATAGAACTGCCAAAAGCATGAATACAAATCTTCAAGGGCTCAGGAAAAAAACTATGCAGAATCAGACTTGCTGTGCAAAAGACCAACTAAACTACCACTAGAAAAGAACAGACATGGAAACTGAACTATGTTAGCTGTGCACATTAAAAGTCAGGCAAAGTGCATAGGACTAGTCACCAACGTTACCTATGGTCTTCCTGCAGCTGAACTTTTCCCCATTACTAACTTACCATGCATGATGGTGTCTGTGTGGAGGTGGCCAATTTGGTAGAGACTGTGCTTTGATTTCTCATGTCAGAGCCTCCAGCAAGGAAAACAGTGAGCAGCACAGTAGTGACATTGCCAAATCTCACTTCAAATCTCCAGAGACTAGCAATCAGAGGCAGCAGTGCCTTTGATCTCACACTGCAGATACACAGTGATGAGCCTGTAGGTACAGGAGTGCCCAGGCACAATCATAAACCAGGAAATTCTCTACTATTAGAAAAATGTACCACTTATCCTGAATTCCAAACTATGGCCTATGCACAGTTTCCATTTCTAAATGTTCCATATAACATAGCAAATTCTAACTTTTTGCCTTCAAGTCCAATTTAATTAGCTGCACTATTTGGTTAAAAACCATGTATTCAGAAGACACAGTCTGTACGATAGTGTCATGTTCACTAGCCAACGCATTGGCATGCCCCACACCTTCCTACTGACTCATCACTATGATGAATGGTACTACCAAACAATAGGAATGTGCGTAAAGTGGCTTTACAGTGTTAGAATGGTTTATTGGTACAAGCTGGGCACAGTCCTCCAGAAGCAGCACTACCATAGTCTCTAAATCAGGAGTCTCCAAACTTTCCAAAGAAAGGGCCAGTTTACTGTCCTTGAGAATTTAGGGGGGCTGGACTGTGATCAGTAGCGGTAAACAATGCCTGATCTTTGGTATTAGTTGGAGAAATAGTTGGTGTCAGTGGGAGAATAGTGCCCCATTTTTGTTGTCAATGGAAGGAATTATTCCCCATTGTTGGCATCAGTGGCAGGAATTATTCCCCAATGTTGGTGTCAGTGGCAGGAATAATGTCTCAAGGGCTGAAAAAAGTGAAGAAAAGGGCCACATCTGGCCCCAGGGCTGCAGTTTGGAGACCACTGCTTTAAATTAAGCACTTTTTCGACATTTAGCTGGTCTTGTGTAAACTAATGGTTTCCAACCTTAGTCCTCAAGTATAACCAAAAGGCCATGTTTGGATTCTTTTTCTTAGATAAAATAGATGCAGAACCACTGACACTGATTTTAAAGCACCTATGCAATCTGAAGAAAATCTTGAAAACATGACCTGTTGAGGGTGTTTGAGGACTAAGGTTGGGTACCACTGTTCTAAATCATTTTCTATTTATTGTCCTTGCCCTAGAAGTGTATAGAGATTAACATACTGTAAGGTGAAAGAGTGGGTACAAGCTGTAGTCTGTTGACCCTAAAAACTGCTTACTTGTGAACATTGGCATATCTCCAAAAGCAGACATACTGTAAGTCTGAGCATTTTGAACTCTCCAGTGAAAAAAAAAATAGCCTGAGTCTTGAGACAATATTCCATGCTCATTCATGAAAATCACACTCTTTCTCAGATATTTCATGCCACTGAGTGACCAACATGTCTGGTTTTTACTGTTGTTTTAGGATGTATTCATGTTTACAGCAACTCAACATATTTTAGGTGCCTGCTGAACAAGATGTGCTCTTACTCAAGTCAAACAACCCTGTAAGAAGTTACTTACAGTGACCACTTAGGAGTTAAGGAAAAACTGTGAACTGATGGTAATAGATCTGCAATGATCTGCACTTGTTGACTCTATATAAAAATATTGTAGCCCTCTCAGGGGCGGACTGACAACTCATGGGGCCCCCGGGCAATAGGGGATCATGGGGCCCCTGTGTCCTTGCCCAAACTCAAAAAAGCCTATGAAAAAGGTACCAGGGGCATCTCATGGGGCCCCCTTCTGACCCTGGGCCCTCGGAGTCTCCAAATGGTCAGTCCGCCCCTGAGCCCTCTTTTTTTTGTGGGGGGGTTATGAGAAATGGCCCTCCCCAAAAAGGATATTGTGCTAAACCTGTAGGTAAATAAGAGAACCAGAACCTTTGCTAAGTGGAAGAGTTGGGTTTGATAATAAAGCTGTCAGTGCCTCCCACCAGAACTGGGCCTCTGTAAACTGGGGGGTTCCATTATTGGGAAATTAATCAGTAGCTAAACAAGTAATTACAAGCAGAACTACAACAACCAGCATATAACATTAGCCATAAGTATATCGATGTACACCAGTATAGAAATAATACATGTTGTTCAACCAGCCTGGAACGGAGCTACTCACTAGCAGGAATTGTAGTGTGATATTGGAACTGTGGCACTGGAACTCAGGGTCAGCCTATCTCTTATGCATTTTAGCCCATCCCTAATAGTTTTTAACCTAACTTGCGACCTGGTCACCTGAAGTCTAACCTGGCTCTAGCCCATGCTGGTTATCAAGCCCTAAGCTAAAACTAGCTATAGAATCCCAAACCAGAAGGGACAGGGTTAACTAGAATAACAGAGGCTGCATATAAACATTTGGCATAAACAGGTTCACCCACAAATATACTGTAAGGTGACCACTACACATACACTAGCACAGACCTAGATATTTGCAACTGTGCATGAGAGATAATAACAAGGACAGGGAAGAGATACTTTTTTCATGAGGATTTAGAAATACACTCAGCAGCTGCAGTTAAACTATTAGGAATTCTTGCATAATAGTCCCTTCTGGATGGGGTTTTGCAGCATGGACAGGACATGTGGCTGAGACTTTCTCTGTCTTTCCACTTCCTTCTTCCAAGGTTTCAAAGCTAACAACCCAGGGACAGGAAGTGCATACATAATTATACAGATATTAGCAGCTAACAGTACAGGGCATCAGATCCCTACGGTATAAAATAAGTAAAGACAAAGAGAACGATGACAGAGTATTACTGCAGTGTACATATGTCTTCTTTTTTTGGTTTGTCAGATGTTCCTGTCTGTCCTTCTGTCTGCACTGGGCACAGTGGGAGCAGCGTACTGCGTAGTAATCTCAGTTATGGGCTTGATTAATGGTCCTCTGTGTGACATAGGAGATGGAGAATACATATATCCCTTCAGGAATGACACTGATGAGTAAGTAGTACAATGAATAGAATATGTATATTTACTGTGTCACATTTGTGTTCATTTTTAAAGGACTGGTCCACATAAAAAGGATTTTCTAGTTATAGGTGGGGCCTAGTGAGTCAGCCCTGGCTACCTATATTTCTGTCTCTATCTGCCACAATTTCCAACTCAGTCGATGAGATCAACTGATAATTAAAAAAAAAGGAGGAGCACATGGGTAAGACAATACATTAAACCAGGGATCTCCAAACTTTCTAAACAAAGAGCCTTCAGGCTTTAAGGGGGCCCGACTGTGACCTATGGGAACAAAAAAATGCCCCAGGTTCAGTGAAAGTAAACAATGCCTTGAGGAGGGAGTACAAAAATTACATAGTACCTGTGGTCAGTAGGAGGAGGATCATTGGTATTAGTGGGAGAAATAATGCCCAATCATTGGTATCATTTGGAGGAATAGTGCCCCATTATTGATGTCAGTGGGAGGAATAGTGCCCCATCATTGATTACATAGTGCCTGTGGTCAGTAGGAGGATTAGTGCCCGATCATTGGTATTAGTGGAAGAAATAATGCCCTATCATTGGTTATCATTTGGAGGAATAGTGCCCCATCACTGATGTCAGTGGGAGGAATAATACCCCATCGCTGGTGTCAGTGGAAGGAAAAGTACCCCATTGTTGGTGTCAGTGGAAGGAATTGTACCCTACTGTTGGTTTCAGTAGGAGGATTAGTGCCCAACTGTTGGTGTTAGTGGGAGGAATAATGCCCCACTGTTGGTGTCAGTGGGAGGAATAATGCCCCACTGTTGGTGTCAGTGGGAGGAATAATGCCCCACTGTTGGTATCAGTGGGAGGAATAATGCCTTGTTTCAGTGGAAGGAACAATACCTCAAGACTTGGATAAATGCAAGCAAAAGGCTGCATCTGACCCACAGTCCACAGTTTGTAAAAAACTGCATTAAACAAAACAAAAATTGCCCAGCACTCAGTTCAGCTAGTCAGCACACAATACCAAATTAAACGTTTTATTATTTGAGTTTTTCTGAATGCTTGGGAGGAGTTTAAAGCAAAGCTGTTGCTTTGCACCAAATGTGCAGAATACTGGTCCTCTAGTCTATAGTCTTTATAAATTCACCACATTTGCAATGTTTCCTCAGGCTGGGATTCCATACATGCTTCCCCAGTGAGTTTTCCATTGAAATCAATAGAAGCACACCGAAGTTCATGTTAATACACGTATGTGTGCTTTCAACGTGTGTTGCAATGCACTTTGTATTAGATGTCAACATGCATTACAACACATCAACATGGGTTTGACGCATGTCATGGTGTGGTTTTGTGCATGTTTCGATGTGCATCATGCTGTGGGTTGATACATCTTATTGCATGCACTGAGATGCATTTTGAAGTGTTTCCATTGATTTCAAAAAGACAAATATGTGAGTCCAGCCTTAATAGGATTATCTGTTTACTGGTTGATTTGACTTGTTGCTTAGACATGCTTGTTGATTGAACTTCGTTGAATGTCTCTGATCCACAGAGAGAATTACCTGTTCAGTCAGGACAGGTGGAGCATCTGCAAGGAACCAGAGAATGTCGTGTTGTGGAACGTTGTCTTGTTCTCCATCACATTGGGAATCTCTGCCATTGAGGCCGTCCTGTGTCTCATACAAGTCATCAATGGAGTCATTGGGGCGATCTGTGGCACCTGCTTGAGGAAAAGAAAGGTCAACGTATGTCATTGTTAATAATGGTCTTTCCTACAGAATAAGGAGCTCTTCACAGTTATCTATTTCATTAAAGTGGTTGTAAACCCCAGACATGAAATATGAAAAAAAAACATATCTCTCTATAGTGTGCACTTGTCTCAATTAAGAGCACTAAGTGTCATTTCTGTCTGCTGCCTCATTCCTCTGATATCAGCACGAAACACATCTGACAAGTTTTCCTGAGACCAAGAGAAAAATGGTAACAGGGGAGGGACCTCCAGCAGATTGACAGCCTCAGTTCTGTTCCTGAGAGCTGTGTGGAGAGGGGGTGTCCCTTCCCTTCAATCAGCTCTCAGTACCCTCTTCACTGAGCTCCGCGGAGTGTAATTTCAACTCTCCGCCCCATTTTTCTGAATTCTCAGACACGCTTTATGCAGCAGCCTCCTGGTTAGCTAGGGGGAGCTCTAACTCTAATTGTTAGTCAGAGGGTGAGCCTGATGTGATAGCCAGAAGGGTGAAATATGGATCAGGGGCTAAAACTTCCTCCTGCTGTGGAACTTTGGTAAAAGATCTAGAAGCAGTGGGAGGAGGAGAGGAGTGGCTGATCTGTACTTTTAGATGATCCTGGCCAATCCCCAACAAAAGGCTTGGCATGGGGCCAGGACAGCCCTTAAAAGTGACAGAGCCTGCTCGGCAGCAGGAGAGTTCAGGTGGAAGATGAGAAAGTGAATATGGAGAGTAGGAGCCTGGGAGGGGGCCCAGATGGAGAAGAGATCACCTCAAGGAAAGAATCTTGGAAGGAGGAAAGCTTGGGACTTCACTGGCCCCCTGAAAGAGGACCACTTGTGTGGCAGGGAAGGAGCGTCTCCTGTCTCCTGAATGCAAGGTGATGTGGAAATGCTTGTTACCCGGCTGTGCAGGACTATAGGGGGACCCAAAACTTCAGCAACTCCTAAGGGGGTAGTGCTACATTTATAAATCCTGAACTTTGAACGGATGTAGAGAAGAGAATGCAGCAGATAAACAGGTACAATTTATGTAGGCGGATTTGTTTAATCTCTGTATCATCTGAGGCCAGTGACTTCACTGAGTATATGTAAGTGTTTACGACCACATTAAATTAAAGTATTATTATTATACAGGATTTATATAGCACCAACAGTTTGCTCAGCGCTTTACAATAAATTTCAAGCAGAAATCCTATTCATTATTAGATCACACCTATGCACTGCAGATTTGAGCAGCTTTTTAATGTAGAACATGTAGCATGATGTGTGGTATGTGGGCACTTAAAAAGTCCTAAAAATGTCCTAAACGCAAAAGAGTGACATATGTCAGAAACAAAAGTCCTGCTTCTACCAGTCTTAATGTCAGAGGTCTTCACTCCCTAGTTAGTGCTGATCCTGTTTTTCAGTCAGGTCAGTAGCTGTTTGTTAAAGCCCAACTCTGGACAGAAAAAAAACCTTTTTTTGGTGGTTCTGTGCCCGTATTATCTAGAGCAGGGGAGGGCAACTGTGGCCCTCCAGCTGTTGGTGAACTACAAGTCCCATCATGCCTCTTCCTTTGGGAGTCATGCGTGTAACTGTCAGTTTTGCAATGCCTCATGGGACTTGTAGTTCTACAACAGCTGGAGGGCCACAGCTGCCCACCCCTGATCTAGTGGATAGGAGAAACAGGTTTACTTACCTGATCCTCCACCCCACAGCAGATGGCACTCCCCCACAATCTGGCTGGACTGTCCCTCAATGTCCTCACATCCAGAGCAGGGCTATGGACCCTGCTCTGGTCTTGATGACATCAGGACCCTGGAGCACTGGGGTGCAGACGCTGCAGGGACAAGTGGAGGATTGGGTAAGTATATTTCCATTTATTGTTCCCCTAGACATAAACAAGCAATTAACCCTTGCACAGCAAAAATACTTTTTTATTTGCCTGGAGTTGGGTCCCTTTCACACTGGTGCACTTTTTTCCATGCTAAAAAACACACCTTCCTAGTACAACAAAAGCACATGAAAATTATTTCCCGTAAAATTCTATGTAACTGCTCACATTGCTGTTCTGCATTTTGAAAAGTCCTGCATGCAGCATATTTGGTGTGTTTTTCATCAAAAATGCACCTTCCATTGTAAGCCAATGGGAATACATCAATAGCACACCACATCTGCGTTTTTTTGGTGTGTGTGTTTTTTTAGCCACATGACCATGTTTCCTGGGTGCATGCTGGGAGTCAGGAAACCAGACAGCGACCCAAAAACGCATTGAAAGTGTGTTAAAAACGGGGTATGCATTTTTGAAAATACATGCCACGTTTTTAAGCACACTAGTGTGAAGAGACCCATGGGCTTTAAGGCTCCCTTCACACCTAAGCAGTTTGCTTTTTCTCCATTTTGCAGTGCATTTTTCATTTTTCTACACGTGCTATTAGCGCTTTTTGCATTTTGTTCAGATCTTTTTTTTTCTTTTTTTAAAGTGGATTTTTTTTTTTGCTGGGCAGAATTAAAATGCAAAACGCAGCAAAAACGCACTACCATGCATTTCAGAAGATTCTCCATTGAACTCTATAAAAAAGTCCTTGACCCTTTCCAAAAACGCAGCAGCTCAAAAAAGCAGAGATGTGAACATGTTCCATAGGAAACCATGTTAAACCGACTGTAGTAAGAAGTTTTAGTGAATTCTCTTGTGATTTATGTCTTACCTGGCACTAAGGTAAAGAGAAAGATGTTTTATGGTGCCTATTGGAATGATTTAAAGTGTATGTACACCCTAACAATGAACTCCCCATTATGGAAATTTATTCTCTCTACTTAGCTAATCTGATTGAAAAAAGTCACAAGTCCATCCAGTTCAACCAACAGAGAAATAAAAAGAAAAGAAAACCAACACAGACAAATACAAAACCTCCATATCCATAGGACTTCAGTATAGTCCCCACTGCAGTCCCATCCTGGCATAATTAATCCTGACATTGTCCAGTGCTCACTTGTGAAATGTTCCAGGAATTTCATCCACAGAAATAAGCTATTTGAACATGGCGTGCCCTAAGAAGGCTGCATGTGATATCTTCTGTGTTTGTGGGATGCCTGTGGATTGCTTTGACCTTTTATGCATTTATTTTGCAATTAAAAGGTGCTTGAAAGGGTCGTAGAGCACCCAGTGCCACTTTGTGAGCAGTTTGGATGGGATTGGGTTCAGCAGAGCTTATTCAGGTTTTTGGATAGAGGTCCACTGCTCTACCGACACTGATCACAGCCCTACCATCACTGTCCACTACCCTACCGTTGCCGTCCACTGCCCTATCATCCACTGCTCAACCGACACCTTCCACTGCCTTACCGACACTGTCCATTGCCCTACTGTCACCGGCCACTGTCCTACTGACACCATTCACTGCCCTACTGACACTGTCCATTGCCCTACTGTCACTGTCCACTGCCCTACCGACACCTTCCACTGCCCTATCGTCACTGTCCACTGCTCTACCAACACCGACCACTGCCCTACCGTCACCGTCCACTGCCCTATCATCCACTGCTCAATTGACACCTTCCACTGCCCTACTGACACTGTCCATTGCCCTACCGTCACTGCCCACTGCCCTACTGACACCATTCACTGCCCTATTGACACTGTCCATTGCCCTACTGTCACTGTCCACTGCCCTACCGACACTTTCCAGTGCCCTATCGTCACTGTCCACTGCTCTACCAACAACAACCACTGCCCTACCCTCACCGTCCACTGCCCTACCATCCACTGCTCAACCGACACCTTCCACTGCCCTACCGTCACTGGCCACTGCCCTACTGACACCATTCACTGCCCTACTGACACTGTCCATTGCCCTACTGTCACTGTCCACTGCCCTACTGACACCTTCCACTGCCCTATCGTCACTGTCCACTGCTCTACCAACACTGACCACTGCCCTACCGTCACCGTCCACTGCCCTATCATCCACTGCTCAACTGACACCTTCCACTGCCCTACCGACACTGTCCACTGCCCTACTGACACCATTCACTGCCCTATTGACACTGTCCATTGCCCTACTGTCACTGTCCACTGCCCTACCGACACCTTCCACTGCCCTATCGTCACTGTCCACTGCTCTACCAACACCGACCACTGCCCTACCATCACCGTCCACTGCCCTACCATCCACTGCTCAACTGACACCTTCCACTGCCCTACCGACACTGTCCATTGCCCTACCGTCACCGGCCACTTCCCTACTGACACCATTCACTGCCCTACTGACACTGTCCATTGCCCTATTGTCACTGTCCACTGCCCTACTGACACCTTCCACTGCCCTATCATCACTGTCCACTGCTCTACTGACACCGTCCACTGCAATACTAGTAGAAAAAATGGTGTACACATGGAGGAGTGATTTGCAGGGTTGAAGATAAGAGGATATGTACTGGAGGGTTCTTTGGGAGGGGAGACGACTTGTGCTAGAAGGGGGTGTGGATTTAAAATCCCCCCCACCCCACCACCTTGTAGCACAAGTCCTCTTCCCTGCAAGAGTACACCCTAGCACATATTCAACCCCCCCCAACCCATCTTCTAGCACAAGTCGTCTCCTATGCCAAAGTACTCCCCAGCACATATGCAAAACCTGGATTTTGTTTAACCATGCCCTTTAAGCCCTCCTAATGTAAACTTTGATTACACCGCTTTTTGCCGTGACGTGCTACACACGCCACAGGTTTCTGCCTCTCCAATAAGCATTAATTGGTAAAAAAAAATTAATTGGGGGGGGGTGACACCATGTTTTACCCTGATTATGTGCATTTAGGAAAGAATCCAGGACTTTCTGAAAACAATCTACTGAGCTGGCCAGAACCAGCTCTTGAGGAAGTCTATTCCACATTTTCACAGCTCTTACTGTGAAGAAAACGTTCCGTAGTATTATATTTGTCCTGTTATCCATTATCAAGCAAAGGATTCCCTCAGTTTGGAGGAATTTCCTCTCCCTTCCTGTTTTAGATATGGGACAGTAAGTGAAGAAAAATCTACCCAGTTGAACACAGATG